AGAGCCATTTAGTCCCAATTCACAGTCAGGAAGAGAACGATTTTGTTCAGAAACTCGGTAAGAAATCGAAATGATTCAATTCTGAAAATTCATGATTTTCGCAGGAATTTCTGCTTTATAAACCAAAAACAATATTGATTTCAGCGAACACTCTTTATTCAGATGCTTGGTTCTGGATCGGACTGAAGGTTGAATTTTTCTTATGGAAAGACATAAATGAATATATTAAGCTTAATTCTTTCATTTTTTTCAGCCATTTTGGAACGCACTTTGTAAAAAAAGTTTCGTTTGATTGATAGTTCTTTGATAGAAATAATCGTTACAATCGAGAAACTAGAATCATTTCAATAGTAAGAAAGGAAAATCGCATCGGAATATTAATGTCTAAATACAAAAATTTCTTTATTCAGAAAAGGTGGCTTTCGAATCCGAACAAGGGAAATGCTTTGGAATGGACGGATGGAAGTTCGGTGGATTTCACGAATTGGAGATCGGGAGAGCCAGATTCGAACACCCACGCTGCGGTGAGATTTTCAGGGTGAAATCACCAATATTTATTCCAATTTCCAATGCATAATTAATCCAAAAATAGTTCGATCAATCGATTTCTTTTTGTGAAATAACGCAAAGTGTTTTATCAAAGGAATTCCATCAGAAATGAACACATTTCAGCTTCCGAGCTTCGATGGGAAATGGGCGGTCCATCCTTCTACCCATCAGCGTCCTTTTATCTGCAAATGCAGCTCTCAATTCTGATCAATTCTTTATGTACCTTTCTGTGGACAAAAACCAATAAATCCCATTTTATTCAATCTTCTGAAAACACACAACTGCACGTTATCTTTTTCTTTATTTTTGAGTTGTTTCTTCAAAATCTCATTTAAAAAGTTTTCCCAAAAGCCCAGAATTCCGCCTGAAACTGCAAGTATTTTGCTCTCTCGTCGCTCCTGAATAAACTATTAGATAAACGTGTTGAACATCAATGGACATCAGCATGGGGAAACTGACAATTCTTCGTGAAGGTCGCTCTTCTTGTCCCTCAACTCGTCGATTTGTCTTTGATTTTTGTTCCTGAAGTTCTCAAATATTCGATTTATGCTTTTTTTCGACTCACTGTTACTTCTGTAGGCGGAGTTTTTTGTCTCTTTGGGTAATCTTATCGATTAAGCAAGTAGAGCAAGTATGTATGTATTGTAGATATAATGAGCTGTATGTCTTTATAGTCAAAAACCAAATGAAATCCCATTTTCAGCCGAACTTTGTTCGACGAAATCATTTAGCTATGGACATATTACTACATTACACTCTTTCAACAACAAAATGGTCGGCTATTTAAGGTGCCCGTTAGTGATGTCAAACTGAAAGTAATCAAAATGGATTTCATTCGAAATTCCCCATTCATTTGCCTCGTCATGTTCTCGGCGACGTTAGCGAAGAATTACGTAGCTAAGGTTAGAATGAGAACTTTATTATTGTGGGTAATTATTAAATGATCGTAATCAAAGGAGATGCTTTCAAACAATGATCATCAATCGCTTTCTTCAGAAGTCGCCATTCTTGAAGTATCCCGAATCGACGCTGTGCTCGCCTAGTTTGTGCAATTAGATTTGATATCTGAATGCTGCAAGTTGGGCAAGAATGCGGAACGCTTAGGTCTGAACTGAGAACTGGTTTGGAATGCGATAGGCCACTAGTTGATCTCTCGACGTGTCAACCCACTAGACTCCGGAAGCTCGGAACTGATTTTCTCGGACACCCAGGTCGAAATGATGCTAAACGTTTTGAGTCTGATCTAGGTAGATTCTCTTCTAACCTTCAAATAAACCGAATTTTGGGGATTATGCCTCAGTGTTTGGCAAACTCCGGCTTCCATCCTCGCGACGGGTCCTTGATTCAACTGATGTCAAAATGAGCATGTCAACGGGTCCAGCTTGGGAGAAAATGTTGTGGACCTTTCCGGAGCCTCCTTCGGCTCTCGGTCGAATGTGACCCATTTGATCGCCGGGACGTTTGTCCTGGTACAACAGATCTCAAGTGGATCTAAATTTGATATCGTGGTTACTACGTGCAACTTGTATCCATGTTTGGATCGCAATCGCGCAGGGCGAGTTCTACTTCAACATTGCATTTTCGGTGAACTCTGCCGTAAAACAAGCGAAAGTTTCTTTGTCATGGTTCCTGATCGGTCAGAGAAAAGACTTCAATCCGAGATTATCAAACACATTGCACCTAGATATACTATCTACTCTGACTCATGGAAAGGGTAAAATTCAAACGACCTAGCGCCAGCGGGCTATGACGAATTGAATCAGATCCGATCCGAATGGAACCAGATTAGATCTATCCACCAATGCTCTGCTGCGCTTCACTGGTGCAATTAAACGCTAATTACGCGTGTAAGCCAATTGGGGGAGGTAGATAACCAATAAGTACCGTATTTTCCCTTAACAGACAACCGAGTTAGCAGCTTGTTAACTCTTTGAAGCTCAATAGCACCAAAACTATAAAAATAGTTTGTAGAGAAAAGCTTTTTAGGACGGATTTGACAAGACGAATTTGTTCTCGAACGCCTCCTTCATCACGCTAAGCGACAAGGCGTGCTCGACGGCCTCCTCTCTCCTCTCTCATTTCCACTAGTTTATCTCTCGATGTGTCAATCCACTTGAATCCGGAAGCTTGGAACTGATTTTCTCCGGCAGCCACGTCGAAATGATGCTAAATGGTTTTGAGCGACTTTCTCTCCGAAGATCTTCGGTCAATTAAGAAATTAATATCTTCGGATCGTGGAGCAAGTTTTATGAGGGGCTTTGAAGAAATGAGTTACAAACAATTGTCTTCAACTATTATAAAATGTTAGATCCGGAATTCGACGAGCTTTTAAAATCCTTTGGGTTCGTTCTTGATCGTGGCATTCCGAGTCGGGCAAAAAACTGTCTTCTCCAATTTTCAACATGCAATTCTAAGATTGAAGAAAAATCGAGAAGATAAAAGTCTTTTTCAAATCTCGAGTGCAGATTCAACAGATTGAGAATGATTCAAGTGAAGGAGAAACCTTGTCGTTGCTAATCGCGAAGAGGAACACCAAATTATTCGACGTTCTTCGAACCTTTTTTTGGAAGCAAACGCCAATTTTCAAGAAAAAAACTCGATTGAAATCGTTTTCTTTACTCTGCTCTCGATATCGGTTCCGATCAATCGTATTCATCGTATTCTGTGCTACAATTGACGGTTGAATTGATTCTTTCAGTGATTGACAATGGTTGATTAGATATTTTTTTGAAAGGTTTGTTCCAAATTGAGTAACTTTTACCAAATCAAATAAGTCTTGGAATTGTAGGGCTTAAACTACTTTATATGAAAATCTCCTAAACCGATCTGCCAACTGCTTAAGCTTGATAAATTACCTCCGACTTTTGAAAATTGCCTGATTTGTGTAGAGTTCGTTCACTATAAAGTAACTGTTGTATTTTGTATTCTCGAATAAATTTATAACGGAAAAATCATAATTCTTTGCTGAAGATTCAACATTTCACCAAGGATGATCAGAAATTCGATCGTTCAAGTCATTTACCAATCGTTGTAACGAAATTCTTCTCGCAGCTTTTTCTTCGTCGGTGAGTGGACTGCGGCGGACAGGTCTGAATAAAAATTGTATCCTTTAAAATCAAGTCTTTCTCAATTAAGCATTTATTGTTTCGAAATTGATTATAAATATAAGAATTGAAGAGTTGAATCAGTTAAGAATCACTTAAGGACTTAAGAATTCCATTACTTAAATCACTGAAGAATTAAATCAGTCTGCGATTTACGTAATATTTCTTTAAGAAGCCACTTACCCCGCGAAACCAACAGAAATGAGTGCAAGAATGAAACTGAGCAAAATAAACCGCATTTCCGAACAACTCAATCTTAATCTGGAACTGAAATTTGAAGAGCAAAATCTTAAACGAAAGCTCTATTTATTCGATGAACTTTTTTCTCGAATGGTCTCACTCTCATAACCCCCAAAAAGAAGTTTTTAGAGATTTTGATTGATTAAACGTTTTTCAATACTTTGCTGTTCATTGAAAAGCACAAAAATCTTTATCAGCTCCGTTTTTGTCTGTTTTGTTTTGAAGCCGCCATTGAAAGGGCAAAAGACGATTGGGGGTTCAAAATGATCGAATTTACTATTCCTACAGAGGAACTGTAGTCGATGAATAGTTTCTATTAGGTTGGAAAGAAAGAAAGTGAATTTCGGGAAATGGGAAGAACGAATGAGGCTACGATGCGATAAACAATTGTTTTTTCACGGAAAAGAGCTTTTGAGAGCTTGGAAATTATTTAGAAAAGCGATTGGCTCATTAAGCCGTCGAAACAATCGCTTCGAATAGAACTTCGTGCAAAAAAAAGTAGCATTTCGGGAAAAATAAAACCATCAGTTCGTGTGAAGTTGGTGAGTGATAAAGCGCGGAGCTTGAAACAAAAATGTGGGTATTTTCATGTCTGTTCCGCAGACTTTGCCAAATCCCATTCAATATTCTTTAACTCTTTCAGAGATAATAAAACGGCCAGAGATCGAGAAGCGGCACACTTTGTGAATTATATCTGGCAAAGACTGCCTCTTTTCGTTGAAGCTTGCCTATGAGCTTATAGCCTTTGGTGTTGTCTAAGGCATATTGTGTCTCCGGCGAGTGCTTGTCAATATATAACTTTGTCATGAAACCGAAAATCTAAAAACTGATGCGATCCAAAGTTTTTGGTAGCTCCAAAAGTAGTTTCAAATAATGAATATTGATTGTTTTCGGTTGGCAACTGATGACTAAACGAGTCGGGCTTTCCCCTCCTTTCCCTTTAATTTCCGTGATAAGAAATACGTATTTTGTGTGGCAACAAATTTCTTGTTTGATTTCGTCTTCTCTCATCAATTCTGCCTCTTTAGTAGCTGTTTCCTTCAATTTTCACTTGTTCTTCGAGAAAATTCAGTCATTTTGTAGGCATCCAACCGTCTAGGAACCGAAATGGACAATCTCTCGAATCCCCAACACGAAGCCGATTTGTGGGTTTCTCGCCAAATCTTTGCTTCTATCAAAAAGAGTCTTTAATTTAATCGAAGAGTTTAGGGAGGAAATGAAAAAGGACAAAGACATCGAGATTAGTCGATTGACAGCAAATATGGCTCAAATCGAGGCCAACTTAATGGGGAAAATCGCGAAGTTGGAGGCTGATTTGGTTGACGGAAAAGAGAGAAATCGGGAACTGGAAAGGAAAATCGCCGAGACGAAAAGGAAGAACGACGATCTCGAAGCACAAATGAACTCGTTTTGTAATTTCCTTTTAGACAGGTTCAACATAAAATATAAATAAAAATCGGACTTTTTTTAGAAGCGAGCCAAATACGGAAGTGAGAGACGGAAAGGCCAAGATTGGAGAGCTCGAAGGGAAAATCAACGCGTTGCAGAGCAAAATCTCTGTCTTTGAGACCCAAATGTAAGTTTATTTTGTATCTCTTGTCGACTGAGACTCGAGAAAAGTTTTTTCACTCCCAAAACACCCATTCCACTCAATCCAATCAATTCCTCTCTAGGCAATTTGAAAGGGAAAAAAAAACGGCCGAAATGGTGAAATTGCAGGCAGACTTGTGAGTTTTTTTTAGGAAGAGGATTGAGTATTCGTTTAAAAAGTCTGAAGTAAATTTTTCGAAGAAATTCAGAAATCGAACGAGGTCTTTCTTGGAACTGGAAACTGGATGGTCGTATTTGGCAAAAACCGCTTCCTGGTACAAGGTTTGATGGATGTTGTGAACCAGGATCATATTCATCTCAAGGCTTTCGATCAAGAAATGAAATTCGATGAAGCCGAGGCATATTGTGCGAGTCGAAAGGGCCATTTAGTCTCAATTCACAGTCAGGAAGAGAACGATTTTGTTTGGAAACTCGGTAAGAAATCAAATGATTCAGTTCTGAAAATTCATGATTTTCGTAGAAATTTGTGCTTTATAAACCAAAAACAATCGATATTTATTTCAGCGAAAACTGTTGATTCGGATTATGGGTTCTGGATCAGATTGAAGGTTGAATTTTTTCTTATTGAAAGAGATTAATAAAAAGAAAACAATGATTCTTTTAGCCATTTTCGGAAGGCTCTTTGCAAAAAATGATTCGTCTGATTGATAGTTCTTTGATAGAAATAATGGTTTCAATTGGGTAACTAGAATAATTTCAAGAATAAGAAAAAAAAAATCGGAATATCAATGACTAAACATAAAAATTTCTTTATTCAGAGAAATCCGGACAAAGGAAATGCTTTTGAATGGACGGATGGAAGTTCGGTGGATTTCACGAATTGGCATCCGGGACAACCGAATTCGTACACCATTCAGGAATACAATTTTTACACCCACGCTCAGGTGAGATTTCCAGGGTGTAATCATCAATATTTATACCAATTTTCAACGCATAATTAATCCCAAAATATTTCGATCAATCTGAGGAAATTTCTTTTTGTGAAATAACGCAAAGTGTTTTATCAAATGATTTCCATCAGAAATGAACACATTTCAGTTTCGGAGCATTGATGGGAAATGGTTCTCCGAGGATCCTACCTTTAAGCGTTTTGTTATCTGCAAAAAGAGCTTTCAGTTCTGATAAATGCTTTGTGTTCCTTTCTATAGACAAAAACAAATAAATGTCTTATGTTCTTTTCTTTGAACAAATAAAAATAAATCCCATGTTATTCAATGTTCTGAAAAATGCAACTGCACATTATCTTTTTCTTTATTTCTGAACTGTTTGTTCAACATCTCATATAAAGAGTTTTCCCAAGAACTAAGAATTCCGCCTGAGACTGCAAGTATTTTGCTCATTCGCCGCTCCTGAATAGACTATTAGATATGGAATATGGAATACAATCACAATGGATTTCGTTCGAAATTCCCCATTCATTTCCCTCGTGATGTTCTCGGCGACGTTTGCGAAGAATTACGTGTAACTAAGCGAATTTCTTGGTCCAGATCCAAAATCTCTTTGAGCCACGAGTAGCGGGTGAAGAGGTCCGGCGAGAGAGATGCTGTTCGAAAATCGCTTTGAGTTTAACAAAGGTCTCTTTTCAATCCAAGGAGTCCCTATTAGTCCAAATTAAATTAAATAACGGCATAGATCGAAAGCTCGGCGTTCCGCGGGTCAATCGGGAGGCGATCACTTTGTTATCGTTTTGCAGATTAGCTCAAGTGCCTACAGATTAGGAACAACTCTAAGTAGGGCAAAATTTTGATGGAGATCACAAAAAACAGAAACCCGTGTGGTTTTGAATGAGAACTTTATTATTGTGGGCAAACAATGATCATCAATCACTTTCTTTAGAAGTCGCCATTTTTGAAGTATCCCGAATCGACGCTGTGCTCGCCGTGTTTGTGCGATTCGATTTGATATCTAAATGTTGCCAGTGGGTCAAGAACGCGGAACGCGGTCAAGAACGCATTTCTACTAATTGATCTCTCGACGTGTCAACCCACTTGAATCGGGAAGCGCGGAACTGATTTTCTCCGGCACCCACGTCGAAATGATGCTAAATGGTTTGAGTCTGATCTAGATAGATTCTCTCCCAACCTTCACAAAAACCGAGTTTTGGGGATTATCCTTCAGTGTTTGGCGAACTCTGGCTTTCATCCTCGCGCCGGGTCCTTGATTTAACTGATGTCAAAATGAGCATGTCAAGATTAATTTCACTGACCGGTCCATCTTGGGAGAAAATGTTGTGGACCTTTCCGGAGCCTCCTTCGGCTCTCGGTCGAATGTGACCCATTTGATCGCCGGGACGTTTGTCCGGGTACAACAGATCTCGAGTGGATCTAAATTTGATATGGTTGTTGCTACGTAGAATTTGTATGTATGTATGGATCCTACGATCTCCAGACTTTCACGGGTCTTCGAACCAGCCAGTGGGCAAAGCGAACGATAGTGTGCTTTGCCCCCTGGTTAAAAGAATGAAGAATTCACTTAAGCGGTGCTTGTCCCCGTGTTCCCAAATCCGAATGTCGATAGATGTGCTCGGACTTGACAGGCATCACAACAGGACGACCATCCGCTTTGAATCCGAAACCCTCAATGCGATCGTCACGATGTCCGGAACCCGATAGACGACTAGATTGAATAGATAGGCTAAAGTTTTCCAACATTCAAACGAACCTCAAATAACGAGATCCAGGATTCCCGGGCAGTTGGTGGCTGTACTCGATGTCACTATTCTTGAAGGTTCGCTGGCCATCCGGTGGCACTCTGCCACCAATTGGAGCCGGACTCTTCTTGAGATGATCGGCAAAATTTGGCTTGATCACCCTGCAAATGGTCGAAACTAATGGAATTTTTCTTGGGTACTTACTCGTTGTTATTACTCTCGTTACTCACTCGCTACTCGTGAGGCCGGACACTGTTTCAGTTTGACATCACTAACGGGCACCTTATATAGTCGACCATTCTGCAGAAAAAGTCGTTGAAAGAGTATAATGCAGTGATTTGTACATAGCTAAATGATTTCCTCGAACAAATTTCGACTGAAAATGGGATTTCATTCGGTTTTTGACTATAAAGACATCAACAGCTCATTATATCTACAATACATAAATACATTATCTACTTGCTATTACACTATTACAGTGGATTTTGAATTTGTTTTGTCAAGCTGGAGAAGAGAATAGTGAAAACGGCCGTTAGGGTCATTGATGTTCATGAAATTTCACGGATCGACTCACAATTTCTCCAGGGGATTTCCGGGAGCCGTGTAGTCGTTGGCACGTGGAGGCAAAAGATGAGCAGATGGCTTTCTGTGAGTTTTGGGTTTTTGAGCCAGATTCTTCAAATCACTCACTCATTGATTACCGGGTAGTGAATCGAGTTGTAGCCTTCTTTGCGAGTGTATTTTGATCTAGAAAGCAATGAACTACTATTTCTTGTTGTCTGTTTGACACTATACATATTGATCGTGATTTTGTCGATATCCGGGCTCGCAGCTGTGTCGTCTTGGTTGAACGTTGATCGGCGTCTTGTACTCACTGAATATTCTCAGTTTGACTTTTAAAGGCATTAAGACACTAACTGCCGATGATAAACTCCCTTATTCGGAATGAGCAATTGGAAGGGTTTCGGCTGACTGAAATTGGGTGTTTTGAGTGGCTTCAATTGACTAGAAAACCTGAGTTTTCTTTCGAGTCTGGGGACTTTGGCCGGACGATACACCCTAACTCGCGGCACACTGATCCGGCCACCGCCACAGAAAAATCTCTTATTGTCACCCCAATTTATGCAATTTTAGGTTTACCGTAATCCCTCAACGAGATGGCAAAAGACCAGTAGACAGAGAGTCTGGAATTCGGTTTTAGTTACAGGATTCATTTGATCCAAACCAGTAGAAGAGTCCGTAGAAACCCCATTGTTACGAATGCGACAGATGTTGGCTTTGGTGAACGATATGACTCTTAAAATATGAAAATAAAACAATTGTGAATGTTAATTTAAGGAGGGGAAGTTGTTGATTACGATGAGGAAGAGGGAGAGGTTCCGTGAAGAAATAAGGTGTCAAGAGATGGGGATATGCTCAGAAGTATGTTTGAAGAGATTCTGTAATTGGGCTGCAGAAATAGGAAGGATAGGAGGGAGGGTCGTTTTGAGGTTTGCTGTGCGAGTTTAAAAGTTCACTCTGGAAATATTCTCCTTTTCATCAAGATAGTGAGATTTAGTATCTTTCGATAATGACTCTGTGTCTGCTACCTCGTTCTTTTCTCAGCTTTTAGCTACAGCGAGAGGGGAGTAAGTTCATTAATCATCATCGGGAAAATATCAGATTTGCAATTGACACCTTCCTAATGAAAAAAAATTGGAGGTTGGTCAATGGGTTAAGAGAGAAGGGCCACGGGACAAAAGTAGGGCTTGATTGAAAGTTCTTGCATAAATCTAACACGATTATCAAGACACCAAATCACCCGAGATTCAAAGTGATCAAGTTGTCTGAAGCTAAGACAATACACACAACAAAATTGGCGAGTAGGTTTCGCTAGAATTCTCAAGGTTCACATACCTACAACCATATAACAGAAAGCTTAGTAAGAAAGATTGTGAACTTGATGATAGGGGAGATGCTCTGTTAAAATATGTAATCAACAGATTTTGAAGAGCGGCATAAATGAAGTTGGCAAAAAGCATAAGAATTCCAACACTCAACTACCGAGCTGATTAGTTTCCAAAAAGAAAATCGAGGAGTTCGAAAGAACGCAGAAATGTTATCAATCCCGCGGAAATTCAGCGCCAAATTGAAGAAAACAATTCGAAAGGGAACGCGTTCTCAGCCCACGCATGTTAGGACGAAATTCAGAGATAAGAGGTGTTCTTTGAGTTTTTTCGATCGGGTTAATCAATCTGGATCCCTCACATATTAATAGGTGACAAAGCAGGAATTCGTCTTTATTTGCTTCCTAACACGCTTCACCCAATGAGATTCCAATGAAAATCTACGCTTAAGAGAGGAGGTCGAGTTGACTTTCATCGTTTATCTTCGTTTCAATTATTATTCTAATTAATCCATTTTAGTAGGGTTCCCAGTAGGGTCTACACGAACACGAACGATAATATGCAGTTGTGTGTCTTCAGAAGACTGAATAAGATGGGATTTATTGATTTTTGTCCACAGAAAGGAACACAAAGCATTTATCAGAATTGAGAGCTCCTTTTGAAGATCCAATGACTCTGGTGGACTGGTAGAAGAAAAGGGAGAATGTGTTCATTTCTGATGGAAATCCTTTGATAAAACACTGCGTTATTTTACACAAATGAGAAAATTGCTAAAAGAATAATAACCAAATCACTTTTTGAATTACAATTTGGCATTGTGGAATAAGCGGAGCTTTAGAACTAGATTAAATTAACATTATTTGGAAGAAAGATTAAAGTATCTAGGAAGAAATTAAATAAGCTAATGTTTTGTATGCCTTTATAGGCGAAATAGCCTAAAAAGAGGCAAAATTTTGAGTGGGGGATGGCGTAAGCCCTCGCCCTCTTGAAATATTGCTTAAATGATTTTGTATTGTAGATAAATGATGCCAAGATGAAGGGCTTTATTTTTCTATTTAACACTTGGTACTTTGGTAATAGGCCAGGCGTTTGCCAGAAAATTTTCCAAAAAAAGTGTCGCCATAATTCGCGGTAATTAGGGAGAGAGCTAGAGCCTACCTAGCTAGAGTATACAGTGTGACCAAGAATTACCGCAACAACGTCGTATTATGTGATGAGCCCCATTTCACTTTTTGCTTACCTGTTTTTATGGTTTTTGTGTATTTTTCTTGTTTTATGGTATGATTACTAACTTTCAATACAACAACATGGTGCGCCGGCTCACAAGGCAAAGAAAGTGCAAGAGTTTTGTTCAAAGACCTTCCCGGACTTCATCTCGTTTTCTGAGTGGCCACTCAGCTCACCCGATCTTAACCCATTGGATTACTCAGTCTGGAATGGTCTTGAAGGCAGAGCATGTGCAAAACTACATAAAAATATCGAAAGTTTAAAGAAGGCGCTCAGCAAATCATGGGATACCCTCGATGATGCCTATTTGCTCGCCACGGTCAACGCGTTTCCCAAACGTTTGCAGGCCTGTCTGA